AATGGAAGAGCGAGACTTAGCTTCGAACAACCAGTACAGTGGTTGAAATTATTGCACGTCTTTTCAAACCTTCAAAGGCTAATATCTTCGCTCACAATAGAGTAATTTGAATGAAATTTTCAAATTATTCATTTTAGATTATCTATTTTCAAACTATTATAGCAAGAATGGCTAGTTCTTTATCTAAATCTTACATAATGTATCTTGATACCATCGGATGGTTCTGATTGGATTAAAACACAACAGCTATTTAAAAGTTTAACAATAAAAAAACATAATCGAGACTTAGTCACGATTGTCAAGTACCTATTACTACAATAATAAACAATCTACTCTTCTAATGATGGGGGGTTGGATGACCGAATGGTTAGCACGCGTGCGCTGGATCATACGGCCTGTCATTAAGGGTCGCCTGTCCAACCTCGTGGGTTTTCTCCGGGTCCTCCGGTTTTCCTCCCACTGCTAAAAAAAAGACCCCTACGTGCAAGTGAATTATTGAAATAAAATTAAACCATATGTTAGTCTCGAAATGACCTTGTTTGTGTCTAGTGGACATTACCCATCTCTCTCTCTCTCTCTCTCTCTCTCTCTCTCTCTCTCTCTCTCCCTCTCTCTCTCTCCAACTCACAATTACAGCCTTTAATCTGTTATGTATATATGTAGATGGATGGTAAATATTATTATATTGTTGGGTTGTCGACAGGGTGAATATATTCTATTAAATTCCACATCATACTATTCAGATATTCCAGGCCAGAATTACATGAAATATCTGATAGAGACATCCTAAATCTATGCTAAAATCCAGCCCTGAGTAGTCTAGTCTCATTGCATGATAACTAGTATATGATTATTTGTGCCAGGAAATATTGTGATGCTCTTATACACTGTAATTACTATTACATCGACAGACCGATCTTATCTATCGGACTCAGACAACTTGATTAATTAAAATAAAACGAAGCGTAGCTATCAAGCATCATATATGTATCTCTTGACAGACATCGTGTACAGTGTTTTCGCGTTTGATAGTACAGTCGATTTTTTGTTTTGTGACATATTCCATTGATTTCAAAGCTTCTCCCCAGATATTTCCGATTTTTGATTATAAACATTGTTCTTTATTTTTTTTTTTATTATTATTTTATTGGAATGTGGCCTTTGATTGCTTGATTTCTCCTATAACATGTCTGCTTGTTGATAGTCTTTGATGTTCATATTGTGTTTTGATTCAATGTGATTTTGATGAGTTTCCACAGTATTGTTGATGTTTGGTTCATGAATATTCATTCAAGGAAAATACTGTTGAACAATTTTATTGCAGTGCAGAATGTCAAGTGAACCTACTTTTTTCTGTCTTGTAGGAAATTCACACCCTACATTTTCAATATAATCCTTGAAAGCATTAAGCAATTGATTTATGATATAATACTAGAACACTTATTATGTATTGTTGAATGGTCGAGAGCGAGATATTAAGTAATATATTGTAACAACAAGAGGACCGTGCGGCCTGAATGTTTTTACAATATATTACGCAATGTCTTAAGCTCGAGACCATTAAACAACTTAAAATACAGACACGTGCTTTGCAATGAAATACGTCACTCGAGTTCAATATTTTACCAAGTTACGCTTGGCACATTGCCCGTACGATAATTTGAAATAAGGCTGACCTTAAAAATATCTTTGTTTCACCAAACCCGACCCACAATCAAGGAGAAGGGTCGGTAGGTCGGTTTTTTTTTCAGATTTTTTTTTAAAGTCAGAGAAATCAATACAGAAAACTTATTAGCTGTATACATTTGTACTACAGATTCATTAATTTTGTTTAATGAATTTGGGGTCTGACGTAAAAAGTAACGAACTGAAAGTTTTTATTAAACTTAAGAGCTAATTTGACAGCTTAATAATTTTCCGGGTGGAAACATTCGTCTTCTTTATTGGCAAACAAATCAATGACATCGGGATTTTTCGTGATGCCCGACTCGCACACGATTAGCCACGAACTTGAAGTGTGAAACTCCTTCAACACGTTTTTAACGATAGTGCGCGTTGTGCTTTCATTTTTCTCGAAAACGGATATTGAAAATATCGTCGTCATGTTTAAAACTACGCACCACAGACATAGAGGCAGAATTATTTCGTGGGAATGGACGTGTATTCGTCTGCAACCATTTTGTTGAGAAGCGACACCTATGACGCTTTCGTCTTGATCAACCAGTTTCAATAATGAATCAAACCATAGCCATAGTATAGGGAAATAACTCTCATGATATATTTCAGGTTGACACACAAAATAAAATAAAAAGATCGTGGAAAAGTGCAATAAAATAATTTAAGTCGGGGGTGGTTTTAGTTAGTCGGTCGCGTTAGGCGAAACAAAGATATTTTTAAGGTCAGCCTAATGGTACTCCAACATCAAAGGATGACGTCACATCTGAATTTTAAGGATACTTATTATGGTGATTGTATCCATAATAGGTGTTCTAGTATTATACTTTTTCGCTATGTTCATTTTCATGTGTTAATGTCAAGTAAAACTTTACGCCTCAGTGGCAAACATTGATGTGTCATCAATTTCTTCAGCGACGTTAATTCCTTGATAAATTCCCTAAATGTGTCTGTTTAAGAGTAGGGTCGCCTGTCCAACCTTGTGGTTTTTCTCCACCTCCCTGGGATTCCTTGCGCTGCTAAAGACTCCTACGCACAAGCGAATTATTGAAATAAAATTGATTTTGCTAGAAAAGCACATGTTATTAAAAACCTTCGAGGCAAGGAGACCTCAAACAAACTTAGCACAGTTATTCACAGGGCCTGCCTAGTAACAGGGCCTGCCTAGGAACAGTGTCTAGTCATTTGGATGGGACTAAAAACCAAATGCATGTAAAAGAACCCTTGACAGCTGGAATCCACAAAAAGGGTAGACTGTAGTGCCTCTTTCTCTCATCAGTGTAGCTGGCGTATCTCTTGGCTGGTCGATATGGGGTTGGGTTTTCGTGTCTATGCACTCAATCATGTTGTTGTGGGGAGTTAATGACAACTATTTTAATATCATTCATCAATTTTTACTTTTTTTGATTTAGATGAACCATAATATCATAACATCAATAACAATCCGACATCAATCATATCTTCAAACAAACGAATGAACGCATAGACATGATAGCCCAACCCCATATCGACTATCAAATTTATACATGTGTCCTTAGAGACACGGCAGCTACATAGTGCATTGATATAATTTCAGGCCCTTGTATTTCGACTTCAACTGACAAATTAAAGTTTGGAATCATTCTGCCATCCTTTCTACGACTGCCATAATTTTTTCTTATTCTCGTCACCTGACAAATTTATAATGAGTTGTGGACAATCAGAATTTTGAAACTATCAACTGGTCAAAGGGAAAGAACCCCCTGCCAAAATAATCTAAACAGACCACAATTCTTCTATAATAAATATATATATTTGTGACTGTCGTTTGTCTGTCTGTCTGTCTCTCTGTCTGTCTGTCTGTCTGTTCGGGGTTGTGGCTACACTAGGTCTGCCCCGAGTCTGAAATTTGGGGTATAGGGTTAGCTCGGACCGGGGAGTAACATAGGCCAGGTGGCGTTAGTCTACCACTTCCGGTTTCGGAGTTATGACCCCCGAGCGAAGCCAGTCTGTTTGGGGTTGGCGGCTACACTAGGTCTGCCCCGAGTCTGAAATTTGGGGTATATGGGTAGCTCGGACCGGGGAGTAACATAGACCAGGTGGCGTTAGTCTACCACTTCCAGTTTCGGAGTTATGACCCCCGAGCGAAGCCAGTCTGTTCGGGGTTGGCGGCTACACTAGGTCTGCCCTGAGTCTGAAATTTGGGGTAAAGGGGTAGCTCGGACCGGTGAGTAACATAGACCAGATGGCGTTAGTCTACCACTTCCGGTTTCGGAGTTATGACCCCCGAGCGAAGCCGGGTATCCTGCTAGTAAAGTATATTTTGAACCTTACAATCAGTACTGCCAGACATATACAATGTATGTCATTTTGTGTCAGCTTTTTCGGTGCAGGAAGGCACAAAGTTAAACCCCATTTCTTTTATAAAATAAAAAATATGGTACATAATAGATCCAAAAGGGTACAAAATTACGGGTTACTTCCTCTCAAATTAATTAAACCAATCGTATTTTGTTATGAATTTATTTCAGATTGGGGAGCCATGGTGGCTCAGTCATTAAGACGTTGGCTCGCTAACCTGAAGGGACAGTGTTTGATCCCTGCGTTGGCAGAGAAAAATCATAGTGATTTTCCAGCGTGGTTCCTCTTTATCAGTGGTGCAGGACAAAGAGCCTGGCAAGGGGAGGGTGAGAGAAATGGGGTTTAACGTCCCCTCGACGTCTCGACACAAACTAGGTCATTTCGGGACTAACATGGTTTTTAATTTTATTTCAATAATTCGCTTTCACGTAGGGGTCTTTAGCAGTGGGAGGAAACCGGAGGACCTGGAGAAAACCCAAGAGGTTGGACAGGCAATCCTACTAATAGTCACATACAACCGGAAATTCGAAACCACGCCAGTTGACTCAATGACAGGCCTTATGATACAGCTCGCACGTGCTAACCATTCGGCCATCCAACCCCACTTCAAGGGACAATGTATAATCATTGTGATGGGAAGAAGAAACAATCTCCCAGGTAGACTTTTGAGGTCGGGTGTTCGATCCCTGCATTGCCCGAGTAAGTTCATCCAGATTTTCCGGCGTGATGCAGGACGAAGGGCCTGACAAGGACAGCTGTCTAGTCATTCAGATGGTACGAAAAACTGAGGTCCCTTTTAGATATTGGCGTGCACGTAAAAGATCCCTTGACAGTTGGAATTCGACATAAGAGTAGACGGTAGTGATGCTGTCCGAGCAAAATTTCTCTCATAGCACACTGTATGGCGTATGCCCATCTTCATTAGCCCAGTCGGAGCAGAACAGTAGGAAGTTAAACCCCATTTCATTTCATTTCATTTATTTCAGATTGCTGCTAGCTATGGAAGAAAAGTTCATATATTTGAACCCACTCCTCTTATACATGAAACCAGTCATGTAAGTTTAACATTTTATTATATATATATATATTTGATATCCTCTCTTTTTGTTTAAACATGCAAAAGCTACACATGTATAGATAGGTATTTCTTTAAGCTTCAAATTAGTTCAAATGTTATATAAATTATTGATGGTACTTTTATTTACATGACAAACCCATAATCAGTGCAGTTTTAAACTCTATTGGAACTCAATTTTCATGTCTTTTAGTATCAAGCATACACTGTAGTATGTTCACACAGCCTAAAATTTCTTGGTGTTCAAATGCAAGAGACCTCCCTCCCCCCCTTCCCTTCCCTAAAGATGGTACATCAAATATAATATGGTTTTTGTACCACCACCTGGTCTTGTACATCATTCATAATCAGTGATTGTCATAAATCTGTTTGACAACCATCTAATTGGATGGAGTCGATCAACACCTGAAAAAAACATGACCATACAAGAGGGTTCCATTCGTAAAGTCTACATGTATGTCCTAACTTATTTTGGGGGTTGGATAGCTGAATGGTTAGCATGCGCGCGTTGTATCATAAAGTCTGTCATTGAGTTGACTGGCGTGGTTTCGAATCCCCGGTTGTACGTGACAAGGAGTAGGGTCGTCTGTCCAACCTCGTGGGGTTTCTCCGGGTCCTCCGGTTTCCTCCCACTGCTAAAGACCCCTACGCGCAAGCGAATTATTGAAATAGAATTAAACCATATGTTAGTCCCGAATTGACCTAGTTTGTGTCGAGTGGACGTTAAACCCCATTTCTCTCTCTCTCTCCTAACTTATTTATGTGTAATGAGCCATCCAATGTTATACATACTCCTCACAGTATTTCGTTTGATTATACCTAATCCCACTAAATACTCGATTAACAACCAATAGCTAACTGAGTTACAAAAGCATTACGCTTAAAACAGAGCTCCAAATTGGACCAAATATGTTTACATAACGTTACGTCATGATTCACGATTTTATTATGCTCAATTAACCAGTGCATAGCAGAATATTGCAGAAAAACTAATTGCGGGACAAACAAGGCTATCAAATCGAAAACAATGTAAACAATACTTTTTGAAGACGAACATACTTTCACCGTTTTAATACCCTAAATCACTGTCCAAAGTTTTAGGGAGGACCCCAGTTTAAACGAAGGAAAGTCATGTTGCTGTACTTGGGATAGATTTGATTGAACGGGAAGAATAGACAAACTCTCTCAAAAGCTTAAGTATCAGAAGCCAATCCAGCAATGGCCAGAGGATTGAATATGTTATGCTATGTTCCCACTGTCATGCAATGCGTTACGATAAGATTGTCTCTATTGAAGCCACGATCTGCTACCTGCAGATACATGCACATACATGCACATTCGGATACGTTTCGATACCATCAGCATGATTGCTACGACTAATCTCAATATATGATAAGACCTGATAGGATCACCACGATTACTCCACGATTAAAACGACAATTTCAATCGTAACACGAATCATGATAGTGGGAACCTAATATAAAGAAGACTATAATATTTGAATCTCTCTCTGTGTAGAAACTGGACTATTGTTGGTATAGAACAGCCACCATAGAAGTTGATTGTGTCATCAATGCTATAACATGGAATATGGAAGGTATGTTACACATCGCATTTCAGATAAAATATTTTACTTGATTAAATGTCTCCAGTGTCAACTTGACTAGGATCATTATACTGTTACTTTCTAACAACTTATTTGGATAGGTTGAAAAGAGAGGGGGGGACCGAATGATCTATGAAATGAAATGAAATGGGGTTTAACGTCCTACTGTTTTGCTCCGAACTGGGCTAATGAAGACGGGCATACGTCATACAGTGTGCTATGAGGGAAATTTTGCCCGGACAGCGGCACTACGGCCTACTCTTATATCAAATTCCAACTGTCAAGGGATCTTTTACGTGCATGCCAATTTGTACACAGGACTTCGGTTGTTCTTCTCATCCGAATGACTAGACAGCTGTCCTTGTCAGGCCCTCCGTCCTGCATCACTGACAAGGGGAAACCACGCCGGAAAATCTGGATGAACTTACTCGGCCAATGCAGGGATCGAACACCCGACCTCCAGGCTAGCGAGCTAGTGCCTTACCCACTTAGCCACACGATCCCCAAAATGGTTTAACATGTGAACTTTAGATTATAAGGTCTGTTATTGAGTCAAGTGGCAGGGGTTACGATTGCCCGCTGACGAGGGATAGGGTTGCCAGTTTAAACATGTGGGTTGTTTCTGGGTCCTCCTGTTTCACCCCAGTCGTATGCACATGCAAATTGTTAAAATAAAAGTCTAGAAACTATCTAGGTCTAAAAATTGCCTGCATGAAAACAACTCTTGATGAAATGAAATGAAATTGGGTTGAATATCCTACAGTTCTGCTCCGACTGGGCTAATGAAGACAGGCATATGCCATGCAGTGTGTATCACGGAAATTTTGCCTGGACAGTGGCGCTAAAGCCTACTCCTATATCGAATTCCAACTGCCAAGGGATCTTTTAAGTGTACACGGGATCTCAGTATTTTTTGTTCCATCTGAATGACTAGACAGGTTTCCTTATCACGTGAAACCATGCCGGAAAATCCTGATGAACTGTCTCGGCTCAACACCGGGATCGATCCTGCGACCTCCAGGCTAGCGAGCCGGCGTCTTACTCATCGAGCCACCGTGACTCCACAACCCTTGACAGTTGGAATTTCGTGAAGAGTAATCTAAAACTCTGATGTCTTAACATAATTTATTTAATTCTGTATTAAAATTAATTTTAATTTTTGTTGTGATTTTGTTTTGTTTTAAGGTTCGAAGTTATTGACAGGAGGGGAGAATATTTCTATATGGCAGTTCGAGATGGCTGATAATACCGATGACGATGTTGAACCAAACAATAGAAAAGTTCAGTTTAGTTTAGGAACCGAAGACGATGATCCGATTGTTCAACAGTTATCTCATGTTGTCCATGGCAACACTAAAGATTTGTTTTATCATGGACCTGGATCGTGGCAATGCGTCTGGAAATGCAAGTAAGTAAACACTGTAATATATACTATAAATGATAGAAAATATTGTAACAGGTCTGGGGATCACGGTGACTAAGTGGGTAAGACGCTGGCTCGCTAGCCTGGAGGTCGGGTGTTCGATCCAGATTTTCCGGCGTGGTTTTCCCTTGTGAGTGATGCAGGGCCTGACAAGGACAGCTGTCTAGTCGTTCGAATGGGACGAAAAACTGAGATCCCGTGTACATATTGCCATGCACCTAAAAGATTCCTTGGCAGTTGGATTTCGATATAAGAGTAGGCCGTAGCTCCGCTTTCGGGGCAAAATTTCCGTAAAACACACTGCATGGCATATGCCTGTCTTCATTAGCCAAGCCGGGGCAGAACTGTAGGATATTCAACCCGATTTCATTTCATTTCATCAAGAGTTGTTTTCATGCAGGCAGCTTTTAGACCTAGATAGTTTTTAGACTAACACATGGTTGAATTTTATTTTAACAATTTGCAGTTTAGGACCAGAACAGTAGGACGTTAAACCCCATTTCATTTCGTTAACACATTGTAACAGGTCTGGGGAGAGGGTGTTAACTCATTGTAACAGGTCCGGGGAGAGGGTATTAATGGTCAGGAGAAGGTGTTAACTCATTGTAACAGGTCCGGGGAGAGGGTGTTAATGGTCAGGAGAGGGTGTTAACTTATTGTAACAGGTCCGGGGAGAGTGTGTTAATGCATTAGGGAGCTGCGGTGGCTCAGTGAGTAAGATGCTGGCTCACTAACCCCGAGATCTCAGGTTCACTCCCAGTGTCGGCCGGTAAAGTTCCCCATGTCAGTAGTGCAGGATGGAGGGCCTGACAAAAGTACAATGTCTAGTCATTTGGATGGGACCAAAACACAAGGTCCTGTGTACACATTAACTTGTAAATAGCCGCTGACAGTTAGAATTTAAAATAAGAGTATATACCTGTCTTCTTAGTGCAGGACATTAGGATTCCAATAATCCCCACGGTGCCTCTGTAAACCTCCAAACTATGGATGATTTTAAACCTATTTACGACAGCTTGTTTTTAATTAGTATATTATTTACAGACCAGCTACAACAGTTTATCATGTCAAGTTTTCACCCGATGGATTTTTGTTTGCCACCGCAGGAAAGGTTTGTATTACCGAAAATATTAACTCAAATATTACTATTGATTATTTGCGATTATTATTACTCATGCGCTTTAGATCTTAATGTCTGCTATTCAGTCATCAGTCAAGTGGGGTTGTTTTGATCCCAATTATGTAGGTTACATGGAGTAGGGTAACCTGACCAATCTTTCGACTTTTCTCTGGGTCCTCCGGTTTCCTCCAACTGCTAAAGACCCCCTTTGCGCAAATGAATTATTGAAATAAATTTGCTAGTGCGTAGGGGTCTTTAGCAGTGGGAGGAAACCGGAGGACCGGGAGAAAACCCACCAGGTTGGACAGGCGACCCTACTCCTTGTCACGTACAACTGGGGAATCAAAAGCACGCCAGTTGATGCAATGACAGATCTAATGATACAACGCGTACACGCTAACCATTCAGCCAGTAGGTGGTTTAACAATAATAGTGATGTCATGGACAAGTTCTGTTCGGTAACCACATGAAGTCTTATGACTAACGTTATTCTTTCCTCCGATGCTATATGTTCCTATGAATCTCATTGGGCAAACTGGAGTGATTAAAAGCAGAAGCCAAGTTGAGTTGTCTCCCTTGTAACTCATTTTAGATGTACTTATAATGGATACTCCATTAAAAGTTCTTGAAGAGGAAGGTAAACCCTGTTTCTCTATCTCTGTTGATGTCCCGTGTACACATTGGCAGTTAGAATTCGATATAAGAGTAGGCCATAGTGCCGCTGCCCGGGCAAAATTTCCCTCATAGCCTGTCGTCATTAGCCCAGTTGGAGCAGAACAGGGGACATAATCCATGAAATTTCGATCCGATACATGCCAATATTGAAAGCAAACGAGATCTTTTGGAGATAAACCCATATTTCAAGTTTCGTCAAAATCGGATAAGAATTGTGACCTGTGGGCGTATAAAAATTCTACAGACTATTTAAACTCTTCTCCAAGTCCACGATTATAAAAATTGTTGACTGAGATTTTCTTAGACAAGATTTTAGTCTTAATATTTTATATGTGATGTTTATATGTGATTTGGGTTGAATTGAGAAGACCACTGATATAAGTATATTTCGTGGTTTTTTTTTTAGGCTGATAGGCTGGTCAAGATATGGTATGAGGATAGAAAAGGTAAAATTCGCCAAACAAAATATCTATTATTATTGGGACGTTATCATGTAACACAAGAGCTTTTATTGTCTTAATGTTATTATGTAACACAAAAGATTTTATTGTTGGTACACTATTATCGGCCAAAATTTTGCCCAGAACAGTAGGACGTTAAACCTCATTGACGTACCAGTAAAAGATCCCTCGGCAGCCTGGTATAAGATTATGGCCATGGCGCCGCTGTCCGGTCAAAATTTTCCTCAAATCACTCTGAATGGCATATGCTTGTCTTCATTAGTCCATGTCAGAACAGGACAGTATGACGCTAAACCCCATTTCTATTTTTTGAATGTATTTTCAGTGACCCCACAGTTGATCCGATCAGATAGTATCAGTCCTAAGAAAGAAGAATTACATTATTCGTTTGTTTATATTGCTCATCCACGAGCTGTGACGGGATTCTCATGGAGAAAAACCAGTAAATATATGCCAAGGTAATAAAACATGTTAATATTGTACAAGTCACTCGAAGACAGGGGTGGTCAACGTTTTGCATCAGTTGTTCCAAAACATAATGAGCAGTTGTACATGCCAAGGCATAATAAACAGTTGTGCCGACACATAATGAACAGTTGTACGTGCCAAGGCATGATGAACAGTTGCTCGACAGTTGCGCGAACGCATAATGAACAGTTGTGCCAAAGCCTAATGAACAGTTGTGCTGATGCACAATGAACAGTTGTGCGAAGATTTCAGAAAATTTATCTTTCCAAGTTTGATTCATTGAGTATATTTTTAACTGAAAACAATGTGCCCGAAATAATAAAATCTCTAAAAATAGTGAGTAGGCTTACATTATTATCACAGTGATGCCATACACCAGAGGATGGTCATCCCTGCTGTATGATTTCTCTGTGAAGCTGGCATCCACTGATCACTACACACAGGATATGGAGCCACGGTGGCTAAGTGAGTTAGTCATTTGCTCGCTAGTCTGGAGGTTGCAGGTTCATCAAATACAGAAACTTTTGCTAAAATATCACAACTAAATGATACCTATATGTCTGTTTAATTGCAGTGATTGTATTATGTTTTTATTTCAGGGGTTCTGTAGCGAACATGTTGGTGACATCATGTTTAGATAATGTTTGTCGAGTTTGGTGTGAGACTATTCTACCTGATGATGGCCTTTTAGATCTAGAACAGTTTGATCCCAGTACATCGTTAGATTCTAAGTTTACCACCAGTCGACATAAAAAAAGGTTTATACAGAGGTTAAAAACAATCAGGTGAGTCATAGGTCAATTAGGGGCTTGGATGTCTGATTGGTCAGATGGGGGCTTGGGTGTCCAATTGGTCAAACGTGGGGGGCTTGGGTGTCTGATTGGTCAATTGAATTGGGGGCTTGGGTGTCCGATTGGTCAATTGGGGGCTTGTGTTGTAAAATTGGTCAAGTAAGGGCTTGGGTGTCTGGTCAAACGGGGTCTTGGGTGTCCAATTGGTCAGTTGGGGGCTTGGGTGCCTGATTAGTCAAACAGGGGGCTTGGGTGTCCGACTGGTCATATGGAAATCTTGGTGGCTCAGTAAGACAGAATATTTCCTTAAAAACACACTATATGGCGAATACCCAGTCTGATTATAATACAGATCTATATTTTGTTTCGGTTTTTATACTTTCGATGGCCTCTACTACATTAAGATCTGACCAGTTGCACTTGGGATCATGTCAGGGGTCGCACAAGCGGCTATTGACCCTATGACGTCAGACATTGATTAATCAATCAGTGTTGACGTTTCTAGTGGTTTACCCATAGTTCCATGCATCGCATGCTAAGAACTCGCCATAACAGACCTTTTCATTGGCTAATCCCTCACTTCAACCAGAACGCATGTTATATAACAACTCGTCCAGATGCTAGTGTTGTGAACTATAAAAAACGGAACGAAATAGGATCTGTGTTTTAATCAGATTGGCGTGAGCCCATCTTCATTAGACCAATCAGAGACGAAAGGTAAAATGTTAAACTGCATTACATTATATTTTCTTTGATTTTGTTGTGAGATTTCTGTACATTATTTCTATTAAGAGAGACAAATTTATGCACAGGTTAGAAACATTTAGAAGTCATTTTTCATAACTATAAAATGTGTTTAATTTAACTGAATGAGCGGTTTGTTAAAAGATAAATCTACATTATTTCTTTTTAGAGACACAAATTTAAGGATACATTATTCATGGGCCAAATTTGCCTATTGCACGTCTTTCTTTAGGCCTTAAAATGTTATATAAATTATTAACTAGACATTAATTAACTTGACAAGACCTTGATTAAAATCGGATACTTTAGATTTAAACTAGATTAGAATGGTTCAGCCATTTAATGATTTAATTTAAAAATGGAGGAGTGAGGCTAATCCTCGAATATACTAATGCCATGGTTATGATAACACACAATCAATGTACACATCTTGTTAAAACTACAAACAGTGATAACTTGGCTCAGAATAGAGTAATTTGAATGAAATTTTCAATATATTCATTTTGAATTTTTATTTTTTAACAGTCAGCCCTTTAATGCATGTTTAATTGAACTGCTTATGTATATTACCGTGGACAATGTTTATATCTATTATTACAGACATGCTATACATAAACGGAGAAAACAGCCCAAATATAACCGTGAAACTGTGATGAGTGTGGGTAATTTATCAAGTATGGGAAGTGTTCACGATTTTCACAAGTTTGCTATTCATCATAACGGAGTTTCTCCCGTTTTACATTTTCATCTAGCTGGCAGTATTAATCCTGAAACAGGTTAGAGGTTTTACTTTTTATATCCACGTCTTTTTTGTATTCCTTATTGTTTTCAAATTTGAGTGAAGTATGTGTCACTACAGGCCCGGGACTGTACAGCACAGTGGACGCTTACGGCTGGCCCCCGGATCCATTCACTTGATTTGATATTTGTTTATTTAGTGCAATGTCTATTTTCTGTATTTTCCGCAGGTTTATCTTGTAGATTTTTGTTTTGCGTGTAGTGCAGTCCTCCTGCACTTACTATTGAATATGGACTAGCTAACACTCGATTAAATCACTTCAAATCTCGATTAAAAACTCATCTTTTCAAAACTCACTACAGAAATTGACAAAAAACAAAAACAAACCCCAAACATAGAGCCAAAAGTTTTTGTATAGTTGTTTGCGCTATGAGCACGATTTGTGGATTTGGCGCTATATAAATGGACTTATTATTATTATTATTAACACTGTAACCCAGGTATTATTTAATCTTGTGTATCTAGCACTAATTTCTTTCACATTCATTTGATATCAAATCTTTGTTTAAAAATTAGTAAAAATCCTTTAAAATCACCAAAAATCATCTAATTTGAACTGTGTCCAATTTACAAGTATTTAATTTCCTGACCACTGTTTAAAAATCAGTCATTATATATCAATAATCAATTGGGTTGTTTATTTTTTAACAGTGATCGGGAAATTGCTAAAGACCCCTACACGCAAGCGAATTATTATTGAAATAAAATTAAATCATATGTTAGTCCAGAAATGACCTAGTTTGTGTCGAGTGGACGTTAAACCCCATTCATCTCTCTCTCTCTAATTGAACTTTAATCATTAGAATTAATTGCGATCGTTGCAGACATTCCTCTACAACTCTTGTTGACTGCCCGGACGTTTTAGCTGCTGTGGGCGTATGTTACGTTGCCTGGCAACCTATCTTTAATTGAATTGTAATCATTAGAATCAATTCCGATGGTTTATAATTTCAGACATTCCTCTACAACCTGTGATTGGTAATAAAGACGACGTGGAACATAATTTTAAAATACATTGGTTAAATAATAAGGAATTACAGTTTACCATCGAAGCTGAGAAGATTTTACAAGAGATGTATAAACAGTTATCATACGAAGATCGTCAAACGAACAACGCCAGCGAACAGAATACTGATGTAGATGAAAACGATTCAAGTCGAGATAATTCCGATCATGATAGTGACCATGATGATATTAGTAAGTGTAAAATGAAATGAAATGAAATGAAATGGGGTTTAACGTCTTACTGTTCTGCTCCTATACTGGGCTAATGAAGACGGGCATACGCCATACAGTGTGCTATGAGAGAAATTTTGCCCGGGCAGCTGCACTATCGCCTACACCTACATCGAATTCCAACTGCCAGGGGATTTTTTACGTGCATTCCAATATATACACGGGACCACGGTTTTTCATCTCATCCGAAGGTCTAAACAGCTGTCCTTGTCAGGCCCTCCGTCCTGCATCACTGACATGGGGAATCATGCAGGAAAATCTGGGTGAACTTTCTCGGCCAATGCAGGGATCGAAGACGTGACCTCCAGGCTAGCGAGCCAGCGTCTTACCCACTTAGCCACGTGATCCCCTAGTAAGTGTGTGTAGTGGGATATTATTTTAATAATAGTGGAACTTTAGAGACATGAAATCACAATCTGATTAAAATACAGATCTATATTTCATTTCGTTCTTTTATACTTTCGATGGCCTACACTACATGAAGATCTGACCAGTTGTAGTGGGAGAACGTGTCATTGGTCATTCACAAGCGGCTTTTCAATCTATTACGTCAGACATTTGATTAACGTCAGACATTTGATGTTTCTAGTGGAATACCCACAGTTCCGTGCACAAAACACCAAGAACTTGCAGTAACAGACCGTTTCATTGGCTAATCCCTCACACCAACCAGAATGGGGGTTATATAACAGCTCTTCCTCTTCCTAGTGTAGTAAAGTCAAGTAAAACGTAATTTTAAACTATAAAAAACGAAACATAATAGGATCTTTGTTTTAATCAAATTGGGTTAACTGTCGTACTGTTGGATCTAAACGAAACGAAATAGGATCTGTTATCTTTTAATCAGATTGATGAAACCATGTGCAGTGTTTTGGAGCCACATTAATTGACTCGGTGATAAAGTCTCTGATTTAGTAACCTGGATGTTTTCCCCTGGTTTTCTCCTTGTCAGTGATGAAAGATGGAGGGAGGAGGATAGGCAAGGGAACAACATCTAGTTGTTCAAATGGGACAAAAAAAAAAAACAAGGTCCCATATTGGCTTACATGTAAACGAACGAAATAATTTCTTTCACATTCATTTGATATCAAATCTTTGTTTAAAAATTCTTAAAAATCTATTAAAATCACCAAATATCATCTAATTTCTACTTGTGTCCAATTTAAAGCTAACCATTTAATTATGATAATGAGTGTCCAATTTACAAGTGTTTGATTTCTCGATCACTGTTAAAAAAAATAAACAACCCAACTGATTATTGGTGTATAATGATTCATTTTTTAACAGTGGTCAGGAAATAAAAGTGGACACTCATTATCAAAATTAATCAGTCAGCTTCAATCTGGACACAAGTACAAATTAAATGATTTGGGGTGATTTTAAAGGAATTTTTTACAAATTTTTCAACAAAGATTTGATTTTAAACAAATGTGAAAGAAATTAGTGCTAGATACACAAGATTAAATGATACCCGGGTTACAGTGTGAGACAGCATTGATGTTTTATAGTTTAAATTAGTATTCTTGAATTGTAAAATTCATTTCCAAGAATGCATAATGAGAAAAACAAATTTGCAAGGGTAAATGAATAACCTATGGGACCCGTAGCTATAAAAACACACACACTGCCGATAAAATAACACAAAGTTCTATAAAATGTTTTTATATTTCCAGATCAAAAGAAGAAGAAAAGGGGATTTTTTACACGTAGAGGAAAGAATAAAAATAAAGATGAGAAAAGTTTAGGGAGTCATACAGATAGTGCATCTAGTCTTTCATCTGGTCACGGCTCTGATGGTAGTAATACCGAAATATCAGTAAGCTCATTCATTCTCTAAAATAAAACTGCTGGCTCTAACGAGAGTTGCACTAACTCTCCTGAGGGTTGCACTGGCTCTCCTGAGTGTTGCGCTGGCTCTCCTGAGTGTTGCGCTGGCTCTCCTGAGTGTTGCGCTGGCTCTCCTGTGTGTTGCGCTGGCTCTCCTGTGTGTTGCACTGGCTCTCCTAAGTGTTGCACTGGCTCTCCTAAGTGTTGTGCGGGCTCTCGAGTGTTGCACTGGCTCTCATGAGTGTTGCGCTGGCTCTCCTGTGTGTTGCACTGGCTCTCCTGAGTGTTGCGCTGGCTCTCCTGAGTGTTGCGCTGGCTCTCCTGAGTGTTGCGCTGGCTCTCTTGTGTGTTGCGCTGGCTCTCCTGTGTGTTGCACTGGCTCTCCTAAGTGTTGCACTGGCTCTCCTAAGTGTTGTGCTGGCTCTCATGAGTTGCACTGGCTCTCATGAGTGTTGCACTGGCTCTAGAGTGTTGCACTGGCTCTTGAGTGTTGCACTGGCTCTTGAGTGTTGCCCTGACTATAATGAGTGTTGCACTGGCTCTCATGAGTGTTGCGCTGGCTCACCTGAGTGTTGTACTGGCTCTTATGAGTGTTGAACAGGGAAGAGGGTCGGGTGAGGATAAAGCATTTAGTTTTTTGTATGGAACAAAAAATCAATTTGAATCATTTTTGGACTAAAATGTTTGTTTTATTAAAAGTGTGTTTGATAGTATTTGGTCTTTGTATTGTTGTAGAATTCTGTGATGGAAAGTTTAGATAGAAAGATTGAAGTGTTGTTACGAGACTGGCATCAAAACGCTGATATGTTGTTCAGTATTCATCCAGTTGACGGCAGTTTTCTTGTCTGGTACGTAATTTATTAAATTTATTGCTTGCCATTTGTATTTATCAGACAATATCTGATATCTCACGGCTCATTTCATGCTAAAATAAACACAAATTGATGTCAGTGGTACAAAATCACCTGGCTTGGATTCGTTCGGTTTAAAACAAGGCCCAAAAAAGTTGTTTTTGCAATTGTGACCAATTCCCATTTATATTCATCAAATCTTTGTAAATATTCAACAAAATTGTTTTTCCATAAGTATGTGTTTTTGTGTATTGCTCTATCCAGTTACTAAATGCCTCTCAAAGATTAATTTTCAATTTAGTTTCAATAATTTGCTTGAGCGATGGCAGAATGGATAGCGCGTGCACGTTGCATCATAAGGTCTGTCATTGAGTCATCTTGCGTGGTTTCGATTCCACAGTTGTATGGGACAAGGAGTAGGGATGCCTTTACAGCCTCGTGGGTTTTATCTGGGCACTCCGGTTTTCTCCCACTGCTAAAAACCCTTACGTGCAAGCAAATTATTGAAATAAAATTGAACCACGTGTTAGTCCCAAAATGACCTGGTTTGTGTCGAGTGAACGTTAAACCCCATTTCTCTTTCATATTTATGATGATATGTTTATCGTTTATGTTACAGGCTTGTTGATTGGCTGGACGAGTATACACCAGTTTGTTTCCGACAAGCACAAGTTAGCTTTTCATCACGATTACCTCATGCATTCCCGATAGCAGACGCACGATCCATGTCCAGCAATTTATTGATGTACTGTAATTATTCCAAAATGGACATCAAGTCCGCCATGAAGATGGATTATGGCGGAGCAGGAAGCAAAAACTTTGATCAACCGGCTTCCGCGACAGGGAAAAACTCTCCAGGACAAAACGACAATATGTTAATTCCAAGCGTCATGATGATCACAAAACATAAAAATGGCTCGATTAACCAGTGGCAGATTAGCTTTACAGATAATTCAAAATTTCAGACAATCATTAGTGTGGCGCATGCTTCACGAGCTTGTGGACATCGATTCCGTACCAACGCCGCGTCGTGTCATCCGGTGTTACCATTACTACTTACTTCATCCCATCATAATATTCCCGAGGAAGAAACGCCAGAAGGTGAGAAGGCAGATGATGATGGATTGGGTTTCCCATTCTGTAGCGAGTTAATTCTATGGAGAGTCGACCCCGTCGGGCCTTTGTCAAAGTCAGGGGGTATTACAGAATTGGCTCGAATCAACGCTCCACCAGTTTCAGCATTCGCTAACGTGGCTTGGGTTCCAACTCTACTTCCAAGGTAATTATCATTTAAATTATTTACATGAAATGATATTTAACATCTGTTCTGAAACCCCCAGGCTTATGAAGACAGACCATACATTGTTGTATGAGGACATTTTGATTGAACAGCCGCATTTACTTGAATTCCAGCTACCAAAGGGTCTTAAGCGTGGATATTGACAGGAAGCTGTTTCTTGCTAGTCCCTTTGATCAGGCACCATATTAACCTGTAACGAATTCGAATCGTTATTATGCAGCACTGAGTTGCTGGGTCATCACACTCTAATTAAACTTTCCTGTCTTCATTAGCCCAGAGGGGGGTGGGGATGGCCTAGTGGTCAAGAGTGCAGCACGTCAACCTCTAGCTGGCCGGTCACCTATGGTTTTGTTCTCTAGTGTGAGCGTATGTGGCTTTTAGATAGGGGCTCCTTCTCAACCTCATGAGTTTACTCCGGGTACCTCTCATAGGAAAGAACCCTGCGCGTGCAGTAAGATAATAAAAATGAAAATAAAGACAAATTGTCCGCGATATCACCTTCTGTGGAAGCAGACATTAAACACTAAGAACAACAACACTAGCTCAGCTGATGCAGAGAAGTAGGACATTAAAACCCATTTCATTTCATTTTACTTAAACTTTCCATTGGATCGTGATTTTTGATGCACTGGGATTTAGTGATGGGTATTGCGACTGCAGTCACGATACGATACGTATTGCGATTCATGTGCCACAATACGATACGTATCACGATTCATAACTAGGTCATAGAT